TGGCTGAGGCTTTCTCAGGTTAGTGTAAGCCATATCATATTTTCATGTCATTTGCATTGCGATGTCATTTCTCGGTTTGCGTGCCCGTGTGCACGCATTCGTAGAGTATCTCATTTTCAAGCATTGTGCATGCTAGGCTGTATCTTAGTATGCATTCATGCTATTCATGCATATCATGCATATTGCACGTGTTCGGATAGTGAGTTTAGCCGGGCACGGGAAACGAGATGCATTTCGGTACTCCGAGTGACGGAACGTTGTCTCAATTCCCAGTCACCGACACTCCGGAGATTACCATGAGAGTTAGGTTTTGTTGTGTTTATAACGTGCATTTCATCTATATTGAGTTGCACATTTGACTCCTCGGCCATCATGCCTCGATATGCTGATGGTTGTGGCACAAGGATCGAAGGCATGCATAATCTGTGAAAATACATTGCCATGCCCCTTTCCTGCTCTCTGTTGCAGCAAAATAAGAATCAACAACTTCGAGCATGGACGCTTTCCAAGAAATACTCTAAACAAGGCTAATTGGGCATCCGGTGGATTTCCGCCAAGAGCAACCTAACAACATCATTCATCAGAAAGCGGCAGCCCTGGCTTTGCACGCCAAGTTTACAGCTATTCTTAGTTAAGTTTGTTAATTAAGTAGGAATGTTGGCTGTATATTTTTCGGCACGTGTAAATATAGTTTGGATGGACTGGGTAGGGTACTGTTCATTTGGGACTTGGTGGATGTTGTTCGTACCCTGGCTGTGTTGGCGCTAATTTGGACGCTATGACTGTAATAATGTATCTGCGCTGAGATCTGAGAGACGTGTGGGGCCCTGTGTTATATCCCTTGGTTTTTGTTCTATGAGGTTAGATTAGTGCATTATTCAATTAACATACAGTTGTAATAGCATGTTTGCATTCATTCATCTGTATTGATGCACCGGGCTCGCGCATCATACTAACTGCATTGTACTTTCAATTCCAATTGAAATACATGATAGTTTGTAGCATTTCATATGCCATCTTAGAATAGCCGAGCCTGCTATAGTTTGCATTTTGCATGTGTTGCATTAGGCATTTCTGTATACTTAGGGTCATGCATGATTTCTAATGTAGTCTTTTTTTGTTAGAGTACCCGGTGAGCTTTATTGCTTTAGCATCCTTGCATGCGCCGTGAGTGAATGCCATGATAGCATGCTTACCATGAGGCTATTTGCTTGTGTGATATAACTGCCTGAATGCCTGTGGGTGAAGGTTGAGTTGTTTAAATTGGAACAAATCATTGACTGTGAGTTTTAAGCCCACTAGATAGTGGCAAAACCATCTTTTCTAAGCCCACCCGAGGGTGGCAAAATCTATGTTTAAGCCCTACTTGCGAGTAGCGAACCATCTTTCAAATAAACAAGCATGAAATGTTTTGTTCCAATTCGGCGACCCAGTCTATATTTATATTGCTGTGTACAATCACATAGTAACCTAGGCTAATAAACCGAATAAGGACATACAATGTTTTCAAAAATAGATACCATGGTTAGTAGAGGCCGATCTTTGATCGGGCGAGCGGGGGTGCTCACGAAGTGACCTTCCCCATCGTACAAGAGTGCCCAAGTTCCCGAGCCGAGGCAACTTTGGTGATGACGGACACGTGGCCTTAGGCAACGAGTCAGGGTTTCCTAAATTTCTCAAAATAAAATATTTAGGTGGCAACTCTGTATCTGGCAAAGCAGTCCATGTTTGGCACTTCTTTCAAAAATCTGTTTTCTCAAAACAATTTGCCGGATTTGGACTCTTTGGTTCAGATTTAGAACCGTGACTACAAATTGAGTCCGAACTACAGCGAGGTCCCCTGCGGACATGTTACATGGGCCACTGAACCACAACACTTGGCCCCTCACTGTAACTGCCCTTGACTTTGAATCATCAAACTCTGCCAAATATTAAATTTTCTCTGTAATTTAATCAAAATATATTCAATGTTGGTAAACTTGTTAATATTTGAAATAACCTTTTTCTGGATTGTAATAACTTAAACACAATTGTTGTCCTACATTTTACGTAACCAAAATACACAACTTATTTATATCGTAAACAAAATATACATCTCGGGTTTATAATCATAAAAATGGAACCTACTTTTTGTTTAAAAAAAGTTCAACCATATTTTCAGCTAAATTATGATTGGTTATTTTTAAAAAATTCCTCTTTGCACCTATTTTTCCCATATCCTGCCAACAGCTGCTCCATTCAATTGAAGACACATGGCAAGTCCACCTGAAGACAAGGATTATCAACTAGCATTGAATCTTGCATGCCACCTGACTTACACGGTGGAGCAGTCACTGGCAGTGCTCATGGATTTAGTGGCCAGCCTCCAAGCGGAAACATGAACGAATTGGGAGTTTGTATCTGTCGAGGAAAGGCTAAAAGGACTTGGGCACAAGTGGAAACTTCAATGATATGCACTTCGACAGGTACAAGTGAAGGCTTTATGTGGTTTCAAGACATGGAAATGACCGTGCAGTTACAGAAGTTGCACAGAAGCAGTTGCAGATTTGGCAGATCATGGGGTCATGGGAAATAAGAGCTATAAAGAGCAAAAGGTTTGCAGAGAGAGAGGACATGAACAACAACACAACAACTTACTTTCGACATTGTAACTTCTGGGTAGTTTTTTCCCTTCTCATTTGTACTTTGTCACTGGGTGAACTTTGGTGATTTCAACCTCAAATCAACAAAGGTTTATCTTCTACAATTTGTTACCATCAGCTCATATCAAAAAGTTCATTTTACTTGTTTACTTTGTTACCATCAGTTCATCGAAAGAAGTCTTCATCCTTTTCAGGCATTCGAACCAATACCCCAATTGCTTGATTTTCTTCTTTAACTTGTCAACTTTAAATTACTGCTTCATTGCTGTCAATATAGGCCCACCATAATTTTACTAACAATAAACCCATCACTTTCATAGTTAACATGAAATAATTTCACAACTCCTATTCGTAACTCGTAATTCATATAGCAATCGGCATGGAGATAAAGTAAACGAGTTCGTTGGGTTACTTTCTCTAAGTAACACCCAAAATTAACTGCCACTTGGATTATATACAAAATGCATGTGCTGTGATGTAATTTTGCAAAACCACATGGACAAAATTCGTATTTTACTCGAAATATAATACTAATTTACCGAAACAAGTTATAACAAATCAATACGAAGCCAAACATCTCTTTAGTTGATAAACCACACTGCAAAAAACCCTTCAGTTAGATCCAACCAAATATGGAACAGAAACAAGTAACCCGCAATAGGAATCTTGGAATACGGACATAAGCCAATTTCTAACCCAAAACAATACACAGACAACCCATAAATATCTCACCTTCAATTAGTTTTCAAAATGACAAGTCACTGCAAACACAAATGACAACATCACTCTAAACAATATGGGAAATTTATAACTCGTGGCCTTGTACATAAGTAACGTTGTGCCATTTCCTGGCATTGTACGTAACCAATTATTTACACGTTACGTACAGCAATCCATGCAAAATGAAAACTACATACATTATTTACATGTGTTTTGAATAGCTAGTACTGTCTACCTAATAAATTAAGGGAATAAGTAAATCATACAAATTATACAATTACCTGATTCACCTCATCAATTGTGGTCGAATCATTTTTGCACACTGCTGCTTCAACACTACCGTATTGGCCCACAGGCTGTTTGGAATAAGGAGAAACATCGAAAAATAGTCACTGTTGCTTAATGTGTACTGTACTTGGATCCACTAACCCAGTTTTGCAGCGAATGGGTAATGACTCCGCATTGTACTCCTGGTTAGTGATGTGGGTTGTATCTGCATCTGAGTTACTACCCATTGTTCTGCTAAACCGAACCTTTGGACACGTTCGCTTTGTGTGCCCAATGCATTTGCAATTCCAACATTTTCTTGGTCTTCGACAGTTGGATGAGGCCCGTCTCGGGTTCCCTTTTGTCTTCACAAGATCAGGATCTTCTACTCCAAATTTTCGTGGGATTGAATGTTTCCATTTGTCTCCATCCCCATCATTCAGATTCCTCCCATATAACTCCTTCATCCGGCTCGTCATCGGAAGACATGCATCCCTAGCCTCTTTGAAACCTTCCGTTGATTGTGAAGCATAGAAACACATTTCATTGTAGGAAGAACTCAATATCCCATACCGGGCCGTCTGTGTTGTAGTGCTATCAATTGAGGGTTGAGACCATTGCTGGCCATCCTTGCTTGCAACCCTTGTCCATCTATACAGCACACAAGTTGGGGGAATTTGCGCTAAATTTTCAGCTTTCATAACACATATCATGTGACAGCAAGGTAGCCCTAATAACTCAAACTTCATGCAAGAACATCTCATTACAGCATCCACTAGATTGTGTGTTACTATCCATGATCTATCCTTCACCTTGTACTTATGAATATAGTAGCATTTCTGACCATCCGGCAAAGGGAACACGTCATTGACATTCAACTTCCCCTCTCCTAAGATTTCATCACGGAATATTCTAAATATATTTCGGCTGAATAGCTTAGCTCCATGTCTCGCTATATCTCACAATGGAGTAATCAATATCAGAAAAGTGTTATTTGTTTCAGCATTATCTGAACCTCGTTATACTTTATCCTTGCAAGAGCCCAATCATAGTGTCTAACAAATTCATATAGCTTCAATTTGTGTTGGACAAAGGGATTGAAATAAGCATTCATACTCTTCGAGTGCTGAGTGCTCTTCATCCTAGCAAAGAAATGTCCACGCATATATGCCTCAGCCCACATATGACGCTTCTCATATGTCTCCAACACCCAATTGTTGGTTTGAAGTCCAAATTTTTTGACCATTCTCGTCCAGCAATGCTCAAACTTTGCCTCATCCGTTTCCATGTCCATGCACTGCTTGAAAGCATGTGCAAATCCACTTTTGTGAACATTTGAAACAGCATTTTCCCAAGATGCCAATTACATAA